ACGTGCGGACCGCTTTTTCCTTTGAGGTATAAGAGGAAAAAAAAAAAAAAAAAGTTGATTTGGTCCAGTTAACAGCTGCTTCTGAAAGGTTAGCGTATTCCATCAGGCATGACTTCAGGGCCCACATAGATTCGGTCGTGTTTTCTGAGATAGCCATCAGGTCATCTTCTAGGGCTTTTACCCTACATTCCTCTTGTTGGATCTGCAGACCTCTGATATGTGAGTGGGCCCTAACGTTGCATACCAAGACTTCAATTTCTATACTTGAGGTTGTAAAAATCAACCCCACAAGATTGCTGACGTGGAGGGCAGGATGGATTGAGTGGGGAGAGCTCTTTTCTGCAGGGGAAACACAAGGTGGGAAGTGTTTGCCTATAGGGAATAAGGGCGGACAAGGGGGACTGTCCAACTCTGGGGCTGGGAGAGATGGAAGGCGGAACATCATCTACTAGTGGTGGCAGAGTAGGGCAGAGGTAGCTTGATGTAGGCTTTTTGGGGGAACAGCCTTCTTTGAGGGGAGTAGGGTAGAGGGAGGCTTTCCTATTGTTGGGGCTGTGAGGAACCGTTCAACAACAGAGTGGTTCTGATTAGCGGAGGCAGCAAGGGAGAGGAGGGGTGGTAAGAGGGGAAAAGAGGAGGGGTGGACATGGGAGGGTCAATCAACATCAAGTATCATCATCATCATCAACAACAACATCATCATCATCATTATCAGATTGGGGTAATCTGCTCAGGATCCCACTATTATCAGATCCGAATTCTTGAGTTACATTCTGGTCTAGCTGATTTCCTAATTGAGCTTTTATTGTGTTTTTGCCCAGGTTGAGTAGCATCCAGAACGACGCTGGCCGGCGCTGGGGCATCTCCCTGTAACCTTCATAGGAGCTTAAGGTCTTAGATAGAGATCTGGGGATTGCTGAGGGTGGACGGCAATTAGAATCTTGACCAAAGGCTACAATCTGGCCGACGAGGGTCGGCGCTGGGGTGGGTGGCATTGCCCTGTAACCTAGCTAGACTGGGGTGTGAGACCGGGTAGAGGCTTGGTTGGTACACAATATTGGCTCGATAGAGACTGGCTGTTTGGCATGGATATCTGGGATTAGGGTTAGGGTAGTATGTGTGATCTGCGTAGATAAGCATTCTGAGTAGTCAGCATTAATCTCTAGCTTATTATCTCAATCATCCTGAAGTGTTCCTGAATCATCCCAAATTTTCATCAATCATCAATGTATTCCAATTATAAGGGATGCTGGGCCCGGTTCCCAGCACGTGCTGCTCCCCACGAATAGATTGGAGTAATATTAAAAAAAAAAAAAAAAAAGTTGGACTACGAACAGGAGTGGTGCAACAGGGCACCCTCGCCTCAAGGATCTCGACAGAGCAAACAGGGCGGAGATGTGTCCATTTACAGCAACTGAGGCCGTTGAGTACACATACATTACTGTTACCCAGTGGCAGAAGCTGGGCCCAAATCCAACGATTTTCAAGGTCATCAATTCATAACGCTCAGGTTTCCTAGTGTCCTCCATCCTTTAAAAAAAAAAAAAAAAAAAAAAAAAAGGCGGCAGTCTTGAGATATATGCACAGGTGACCGGCGTGGGTAATTCGAGATCATTATGGAAGTTATTATTGTAAATTATATGTCATGATCATGACTTATTGAGATTCCTCATTGAGCTTATGTTGTGACACGTATGTTGAGAGTTTTTTTTTTTAACCCTTTGGAAATATCGTGAAATTGAGGGTCTCAACCCTGACGAGCATCGTAATTACGAAGGTCAGCTATGATGATTCTGACTGAGAACTCAACCTGAGAGCTCTTTTTATTGGGTGTGTCCCGACCGGCCACAGCAGGACCTAAGCAGCCACTTCCACTTGGCCCGATGCTCCCGCACTGCAACGGGTTACAGGGCAGCACAACTCGCCCCAGTGAGTTACCAGTGTTGACTGGCCGTGGCCACCAATCCTTCTCGCCGGCCTCTTTTTTTGGGAGTGTGCCTCCTGCCCCAACCATCAGAATGAGCTGGCGCTGCCATCTAGCGCTGTAGAAGGGCTGTCATGTAGCGCTGAGAAATTTGTGAGTGCTTCTATAGTTCTTGAGTCTGGAGTAAGTGGAGCGATGCTTCTTTTTTCAAGAGTTCTAGACCTATGACAGCGATAGAAGCACTCACTAATTTTTTCGTAAGTCTTGCAGTGGAGCGAGACCCTATATGCCCATTTTCTTCAATCCCATGCAAAGTGGTTATCGGAGGTGCCTTTCCCATTTGGTAGCCCGAACCTCCTCTCGCCTTCAGGGCGATACGGCACTGCCAGCCTATCGGCCGGAGATGAACCGCATGGCGCACCCCCTCAGGGCATCCTCACACTAGGGCTTCTGTGACTCAGCTCTGGATGTGATTGGGGCCAAATGCATTCATGTCGGGGAGTAATAGCAATCAGATACATATAGACAAGTGCTAACGTCAGTATGCCCTCAACTGCTCTAAGACTTTTGTTCTTTTTGCCGCTGTTTTTCAGAGGCTCGTGTCTATTGGTGGGAAGGGCCGCCTATGATGCACAACCTCACACCCTGCGCGTCGCCCCGTACCGGCGGACGCCGATCAGACACAAGCAGAACACAGTTAGACACAAAAGAGGCCGCCAACAGAAGACTGAGGGTGTGGTTTTCTTTCGAGAGTCATTTGTTTCGTACACACGTCTCAACTTGACACAGCATAACCCACCCTCATTCATTCAAATAGCAGCTGGGGTTATCAGCCCCGAGAAGAGCCCCAACTGGGTGTGCCCTGGTTGTGTGTATGTGGAGATGTGTATGAAGCACTATGAACACATTTATGTGCAATAACTCGCAGTATCCCAGTGGGACTGTACACTAACTGTGTTTGCTGTTTCCTTGGTTTGGGCCTTGTGGGACTTGATCCTGTGCCCTGTAATTTATACGTCGGTTTGTTAGCTTTGAGCTCTAATGGGCTTGATCCTTAGACCTGTAACTAGTAGTCTCTATTTGGCAGTCTTAGACCCACGCCACGTGGGGACCACAGTTTAACTGTCGTTGGTGTCGGCAGGGGGATTCGTGCTCTTGGCAACGGCTAGTCTTGGGATATGAAAGTGCGGCCAGGTTCCCAGAGCTTTCCCGCAACGCGGGCGCCCTCCCGGCTAACTTCTGGACCTGGGTTCCCACAGCCCTGTCTGAACCAAGCCGCATTGCGCCTGACCACCCGCGGGGACTCGATGAATCCGACCCTGAGTCTTGAAAACTCCATGTCTCGGGGCTCCCGCCGCGGAGTTAGAGTGACCTTAGCGCGATAGGAGCGGTAGATTCCGCTCTTCCTGGCCCCTGTTCTCCGCCTTTTTGTCGGCATGTTAGCGTGTCGCTCTCAATCCCCTCGGCCAAGCGGAAGTTTTGAATCGGAACAGAACGTGCCGCTTCAGAAATATAACCCTTCTAATTTTCTTGTATCTCCGTTTTGGCCCTGACGACGACCAGAGCTCACGAGAGGCCTTGGTACGAGAAAGAATCCCCCGTCCCGTCCGGGAGATTAAACCCCACTGGCCAAAAATCCTCCGCCACACCCCCAATTAGGCTGCATCCCCTCGTGCGCAGTTTGAGTGTGGGATGGCCTCTCTGAAATAATATGTGTATGTGTCTGTTTGTTTGTGTGTGTGGAGTCCATGGGCATTCGGCCATGTGCCCCTGGACCCTAGTTCGTTCAGCCCTTCCTCATGGAGGGACAGGGTGTTGGTCACCCACACACAAAATCAGTTTTATGTATGTCTTTTTTTCTAAGTACTACATGTGTGTCTGAGGGAGCAGGTCACACACACACACACACACACACACACACACACACACAATCAGTTTTATGTATGTCTTTTCTTTCCAAGTACTCCCTGTAATCTGAGGGAGCACCTCTAAGATGCCCCAGAAGAGTCCCCTCTGGATATGTCTGGGCTCTTTTTGACTAATGACCAAGGAACGGAGCCTAAAAACGGGTAGAAAGAACCGACCAAAAGGACGCAGGATAATCCAACCACTGTTGGAGCCCCCATCCCCTACTTGACCTCTCTGATCAGGATGTGCCATATGGAGAGAAATAACGCCCCAGATGGTGGACAAGCCGACGTCCAAGGAAGAGGTTTTGAGTCCAACTATATTTGGGAATACCTGCGTGAGATACCTGCGTGAAACGATGGCAACCATCCATGGACACAGACCATTAGAGACAAGAGATTGTTGCCATGGACCCAAAAAGGTATCTGCTTGGTCAGCCATATCTTGAATGACGAAAAGAAGGGGTGGATCGAGGAACAGTAGTTGATGAGTCTTCTCAAAGGCTGTCATCAATGAAGAGATAACCTAAACAGTATAACAAGGACCACACTGGAAAGGTGAAACTGCTTAAACCACCAGCACAAGGCCCCAGGCAACTGGTGAACCTGTTTTGACCCTCTCCGAAAATTTAGGAGGCCGAGCGCCGTAGATAAAATGAATCGGCGGCGGGCGGCCTCCGAAAGGGGCCTGCGGCCTATAGCCGGCATGTACTGATGCTTTAAGGAAGAATTCACTCGGGAGCCCTGGGAATGGGGCGAAGTCATCCAAGAAGCCATTCCCAAAAGAGCATACCATTTCAAATAGATTGGAACATGGGGTTAGCGGCTTCCTTTATGTTCCTCCCCATACACTATACAAAACCTGGATGTCAATCAATCAAACCTGAATGCACATCAATCAACAATACCGACCCTCTGTCGGTGGGGAGTCGCTCACGATTCTGATAGGGGTGGGTGCTCTTACCACCATCCCTATCAGAGGCAGCGGGTGTTGCATTAAAAAAAAAAAAAAAAAAAAAAAAAAAAAAAGTCATCAAAAAAATCCGAAAAAAACCTATGTGATGCAACAACACAAAACAAGCAACATTTGGCTGAGCATCATCTTCAGAGTCTAAAAAAAAAAAAAAAAAAAAAAAAAAAACAATACGGACCCTCAAAGAGGAAATACTACATTCCTTTTGTCGGCACAAGGTAAGTGTACGAGGAATGTGGCCAAGGCCAAAAAGTGATATTCCAGCCGACTGCTATACAAGGTCTAAAATTTGGTGCTATCAAAGGGGCCTGGACACCACCACCTGGGAGCAATTAACCATCCTTGCCGGACAGTGTGGACACCATCCGCTTCCATCATGCACAGTACTTCTCTATCACTGTTCCTTAGTGGCCTTTTTTTTCGTCTATTGGACATAATGCAACACCAACTAACCATCCTTTGCAGATCGTCAACAAGAGGGCTAAGCTTACATACACAACAGCAGCAGAAGATGTACACCATCCCAGCTGACGTAAACACTACACCTCGAATCAGAAACCCTCAAACCTAAACCCTAAACTAGGAACCCTCAATCAGAACCCTCGACCGTAAACCACCCCATGTCCGTCACTTGCAAGATCACTTGGTAGACGATCCATCCATAGATGCACATATATCACACAAAACAATAGACACTGGCCGATAGGCAGA